GAGCATTTGTCCCACTGACTGCAATGTAAGGAGAATTCTTCCCATTGATCACCAACGTAAGGAGCATTCTTCCCATTGACCGCCAATGTAAGGAGCATTCTTCCCAATGACCACCAATGTAAATGGAATTCTTCTCACTGACCACCAATGTAAGGGTTTTCTTTTCATTGACCACCAATGTAAGAAGCATTCTTCCCACTGACCCCCAATGTAAGGAGTATTCTTCTCACTGACCTCCAACGTAAGGAGCGTTCTTCCCACTGACCACCAATGTAAGGAGCACTTTTCCCTCTGACCTCCAACGTAAGGCGCATTCTTCCCACTGACCACAATGTAAGGAGCATTCTTCCCATTGATTACCAATGCAAGGGGCATTCTTCCCACTGTACACCAATGTAAGGGGCATTCTTCCCACTGACCACCAATGTAAGGGTAATTCTTCCCACTGACCACCAATGTAAGGAGCACTCTTCCCATTGACCGCCAATGTAAGGAGCATTCTTCTCATTGACCGCCAATGTAAGGAGCATTCTTCCCTGACCACCAACGGAAGGAGCATTCTTCCCACTGACTACCAACGGAAGGAGCATTCTTCCCACTGACCACCAATGTAAGGAGCATTCTTCCCCACTGATCACCAATGTAAGGAGCATTCTTACCACTGACCACCAATGTAAGGATCATTCTTACCACTGACCACCAATGTAAGGAGCATTCTTCCCACTGACCACCAATGTAAGGAGCATTCTTACCATTGACCACCAATGTAAGGGACATTCTTCCCACTGACCACCAATGTAAGGGACATTCCTCCCACTGACCACCAATGTAAGGGGCACTCTTCCCATTGACCGCCAATGTAAGGAGCATTCTTCTCACTGACCTCCAATGTAAGAAACATTCTTACCACTGACCACCAATGTAAGGGACATTCCTCCCACTGACCACCAATGTAAGGAACATTCTTCCCACTGACCACCAATGTAAGGAACATTCTTCCCACTGACCACCAATGTAAGGGGCATAAACACAAGAAATTTCTTCCATAAGGCAATGGCTTTCTGTCAGTCTGTTTCAGATTTTGGGAACGTCTTGTCCTCAGTATTAACGTGATTTAAACTGGTTTTGTTGGCTCATTTTGAAGAATGCCTCAGCTTTAATATTGTCCTGATTTTCATTTTTGTAATTACTTCTATCAAAGTGCTGTAACCAAAAAAACTAGGATGTGAAGGGTCAACTCAGGGTAAAGTATAGGTAGTAATGCAGGCCATAGATGGGTCGAAAATCAGCCGATTTTTCGGCCGAAAAAAAAATTGGCCAATTTTCGCAGCTAGTGGGTTAATTGGTCGGCCGTTTTTCGGGGTTTTGGCACACTTTTTATATCGGTCCAGTTGGAAAATTTGCGGCCGATTTTGACGATCGGTTGATTTTCCCGACAATGATGTGCAAACAGGCCGATCGTTTTATTGATAAAAAATCTGCGCATAAACCATGACCTGCAAGAAGAAGAAAAAAGAAGAAGAAAAGAAAAAGAAACAGAAAAAGAAGAAGAAAAAAAGAAGAAAAGAAAAGAAAAAGAAGCAGAAAAAGAAGTAGAAGAAAAAAGAAGAAGAAGAAGTAGAAGAAGAAGAAGTAGAAGAGGAAAAAGAAGAGGAAAAAGAAGAAGAAGAAGAAGAAGAAAAAGAAGAAGAGAAGAAAAAGAAGAAAGAAGAGAAGAAGAAAGAAGAAAAAGAAAGAAGAAGAAGAAGAAGAAAAAAAAGAAAAAGAAGTGAAAAAGAAAAAAAAAGAAAAAGAAGAAGAAGAATTCCAGTCTGCTATTATATTTTATATGAAAAGTCTTGCGGTTGCAACAATGTATCTATTTGTATCCGAATAAAAACATCTGTATTCGAAATGGATACATTGTTCCTAACTAGGAAGGTGCTACATATGATTAGCTGAAGTTCCCTTTTGTTTTTTCATTATGTATAATATATGTTGCCACTATTATTTTTGTTGTTTTTGTAAATAACCTCTTCCCGCCCGGCCTATGGCCGAATGGCGGCCGGCAAAAACCCCTACCTTTCTGGGTGGACGCCATATGGCGTCCTTTCGGGCATGCACAGTTTGTGCGCCTGCAGAGCCACGCAGCTGCGTGATCTGTCACCAGCCGTGTATCTCGGACACGGCCGATGACAGATCTGAGTAGCGGCCCCATTGCCGGCACCATGTGACCTGCTGTGACCAATCACAGCAGGTCACATGACAGTTGTATACAATGGATGGCTTCATTCATGCCATCCATTGTATACTAGTGTGGGTACTGATAGGCGGCACTTATGAGGAGGCACTGATAGGTGGCACAGATGGGCATTGACAGGCATCACTGATGGGCACTGAAAGGCAGCACTCATATATGGCACTGATAGGCATTGATAGGCGGCACTGATAGGCGGCACTGACTGGTACTGATAGGGAGCACTGATTGGAACTGTTAGGCGGCACTGACGGGCACTAACTGGCACAGATAGGTGGCACTGACTGGCAATGATTGGCCGCACTGATAGGCGACACTGACTGGCACTAATAGGTGGCACTGAAGGGCACTAACTGGCACAGATAGGCGGCAGTGACTGGCACTGATAGGTGGCACTGATTGGCCGCACTGATCGGTGGCACTGACTGAAACTGATAGGCGGCACTGATAGGTGGCACTGATAGGCAACACTGACTGGCACTGATAAGCAGCACTGATTGGAACTGTTAGGCGGCACTGACGAGAACTGACTGGCACTGATAGGCGGCACTGACTGGCACTGATAGGTGGCATTGATTCGCCGCACTGATAGGCGACACTGACTGGGACTGATTGGTGGCACTGATAGGCGACACTGACTGGCACTGATAGGCAGCACTGACTGGCACTGATAGGTGGCACTAAAAGGCAGCTCTGATGGGCACTGATATGTGGCATTGATGTGCACTGACGGGCACTTACAGGTGGCATTAATGGGCACTGACAGGTGGCACTGATGGGGCTACACTGATCATCAGTGCCCTGATGATCAGTGTAGATGCCCCTGAGGAATGCTGATTACCGGCTCTCCACTCTTCATACGCTCTCAGCGGAAGGAGAGGACTGCCGATAACCGGCATTTCCTATTTACATGCGATCAGCTGTAAATGGACACAGCTGATCACATGACAGAGTTGACATCATCAGCTCTTTACAGTGATTGGTGATCTGTGTCCCAGGGACACAGCGCACCACCAATCGCCGTGCCACATGCCCACGAGGGCGCGCATGCGCAGTTAGGAGGACGTCATATGACATCCGCCCAAACAAGAGAACCGCCACCTGTCCGTCATTACCTTATATGGCGGGCGGGAGGCGATTAACAGAAGAAAAATTGTGTTTTCTTCCATTCAAAAAAAGGATGTTAACGGAGGCGGACCTTAGATGACCATCCGTTTACATCCACTAGTCCATAGAAATACATGGGTGTCCGTTTTCCATCCCTAAACGGACCTGCGGAACGCCCGTGTGAAAGGGGCCTTAGTGCGTTGAGGCGCTAGCAGGGGCGGACTGACCATTTGGAAACTCGGGCACTGCCCGAGGGCTCGGGGTCAGTAAGGGGCCCCATGAGATGCCCCTGGTACCTTTTTCATAGGCTTTTTTCAGTTTGGGCAAGGACACAGGGGCCCCATGATCCCCTATTGCCCGGGGGCCCCATGAGTTGTCAGTCCGCCCCTGGGCGCAAGAAATTCCAGAGATCCAGCCTTTCCCACCACTGGATTTGCCGGGACAAATCCAGCAAGTTCCCAGGTATGCATGTTGTCAAAGATGATGCTACTTTCTAACGGCAAAATAAAAAGCAGAAGAAATGTAAAAACCACCTAAAAACCACCTAAACAATGTGCATTCATGATTAAAAAAAAAAACAGAACTTTCAAAAAATGCTTCAAAATTGCGTGAAAATGCTCAAGTATGAATGGGGGCTAAAAAAAGCGATACGAGGGATCCATTTTTTTCATCCCTTTGGAGAGGAGAGTCGGATTTATTAGACAATGGATGGCAGGCTAGAGAGGTGGAATGCGTTCATAAATCTGAACTGCCACGGGGGGAGTCAGAACTGCGCGAGCGGATGGCGAGCGCGCCCCGCGGCAACTCTGCTGTTTAATGAGATTTGAGGCCCTCACTGAGTGATGGATGTAAAGGGAACAGACGGACGGGCCCGTAACTCCGGCCGGGGCTCAGACGGCACCCTCAGCTCCTGTCACACGCGACGCGTCCCGGTGTCTGCCTTGCCGCGGCGGCCTGTTGTGACACGCACGTAGCCACCCGTGACAGGAGCCTGGAGCGACTTCCGAACCAATTTACTGAGACGGCTGCCAGGGCCGTGCTTTATGCCTTATCTAAGGCGCCCTCGGGCCCTGTTATTCCACTTGTAAAATAAAACCAGGCTGTGCGAGTCGTCTTCTCCGTGTGTGCTACCAATTACAGCGCCATGATGGAGCGCTGCAAGTAACACGGCCGGTAGAAAAAAATGGGAGCCATAAAATTCACAAATCAAGTCGTGGAAGAATCTGCGCTAAATCTGATTTTTCACGTTTAAAGTTAGTACGTTACGGCACGGGATGTAGAATCTTACGCTGCGTGCGATCAATTCACATTTAGGGCCATTACGCCATGACGTCTTGCCACCGGCACCTATCATAGGTCCGGCAGCCATCTTTTTAATTTAATGGTCAGTATTGTTTGTACACCTTTTATGTCCTTAACCACGTGGATTAATACATTTAATTTTTTTTAAAAATACTACACTATGGGCCATTTTTTGGTTGGCTCCCCGGCAGAGGCGGACTGACCATTTGGAAACTCGGGCACTGCCCAAGGGCCCAGGGTCAGTAGGGGGCCCTATGAGATGCCCCTGGTACTTTTACATAGGCTTTTTTGAGTTTGGGCAAGGACACAGGGGCTCCATGATCCCCTATTGCCCGGGGGCCCCATGAGTTGTCAGTCCGCCCCCTGCCCGGTGAGCTAACATTTCCAGAGCCCAAATTGCAAGATACAGGAGCTGAATTATATTTGGCACCAGTCCAGATGAGGGAGCTGTTTCCAGTGTAAGCTGACAAGCATCCTGCCCATCCATTAACCTCTTGCTTACCAGGCACTTATACCCCCTTCCTGCCTACCGGGCACTTCTACCCCCTTCCTGCCTACAGGTCACTTCTACCCCCTTCCTGCCTACCGGGCACTTCTACCCCCTTCCTGCCTACCGGGCACTTCTACCCCCTCCTTCCTGCCTACCGGGCACTTCTACCCCTTCCTGCCTACAGGCACTTCTACCCCCTTCCTGCCTACAGGGCACTTCTACCCCCTTCCTGCCTACAGGACACTTCTACCCCCTTCCTGCCTACCGGACACTTCTACCCCCTTCCTGCCCACCGGGCACTTCTACCCCCTTCCTGCCTACCGGGCACTTCTACCCCCTTCCTGCCTACCGGACACTTCTACCCCCTTCCTGCCTACAGGGCACTTCTACACCCCTTCCTGCCTACCGGACACTTCTACCCCCTTCCTGCCTACAGGGCACTTCTACCCTGCCTATCTTCTACTGCCTACCGGACACTTCTACCCCCTTCCTGCCTACAGGACACTTCTACCCCCTTCCTGCCTACAGGGCACTTCTACCCCCTTCTTGCCTACAGGGCACTTCTACCCCCTCCTGCCTGCCTACCGGGCACTTCTACCCCCTCTTCCTGCCTACCGGGCACTTCTACCCTCTTCCTGCCTACCGGGCACTTCTACCCCCTTCCTGCCCAGGCCAATTTCCAGCTTTCAGCGCTGTTGCACTTTGAATGACAATTGCGCGGTCATGCAACACTGTACCCATATGAAATTTTTATCATTTTTTTGAGACAGATAGAGCTTTATTTTGGTGGTATTTAATCACCTCTGGGTATTTTATTTTTTCTTAAATAAACCAAAAACCACTAAAAATGAAAAAAAAACCCGTTTTTTCTTAGTTTTTTGTTATCAAATTTTGTAAATAAGTGTTTTTACTCCTTCACTGATGTGCGCTAATGAGGCTGCACTGATGGGCACTGATAGGTGGCACTGATGGGCACTGGTAGGTGGCACTGATGGGCATTGACAGGCATCTCTGATGGGCACTGAAAGGCAGCACTCATATATGGCACTGATAGGCGGCACTTACTGGCACTGATAGGCAGCACTAACTGGCACTGATAGGTGGCACTGACTGGCACTGTTAGGTGACACTGATAGGCAGAACTGACGGGCACTGATAGGCGGCACTGATGCACACTGATAGGTGGCACTGATAGGTGGCACTGATTGGCAGAACTGATAGGTGCCACTGACTGGCATTGATAGGTGGCACTGGCTGGCACTGATGGGTGACACTGAAAGGTAGCTCAGATGGGCACTGATATGTGGCATTGATGTGGCACTGATGGGCACTGGCAGGTGGCATGGATGAGCACTGGCAGCTGGCACTGATGGACACTGACAGGTGGCACTGCTTGGGCTACACAGATCATCAGGGCACACTGATCATCAGTGCCTTGATGATCAGTGTACATGTCCCCTCTGAGTAATGCCGATTACCAGCTCTCCTCTCCTCTGTCAGCGTGACAGCTCGTGCGGAGAGAAACGCCCATAACCGGCGTTTCCCTGTTTACATGTGATCAGTTGTAATTGGACACAGCTGATCACATGAGCAAGTTGAAATCTTCGGCTCTTTCCGTTGATCGGTGATCCGCTGTGTCCGAGGGTCACAGCGCACCGCCGATCGCCGCACTACGCGCTCCCGGAGCTGCGCATTCGCGGTTAGAATGGGAGGACATCATATGACGGTAGGATAGGCTTCCCTGAAGAGATTGGTTTTCAGAGATTGCCTAAAAGTGAGCAGAGTAGGCGATAGTCTGATAAATTGGGGTAGAGAGTTCCAGAGGATGGGGGAAGCTCTGGAGAAGTCCTGGAGACGAGCATGGGAGGAGGAGACAAGGGAGCTAGAGAGTAGGAGGTCTTGCAAGGAGCGGAGAGGACGGTTTTCATATTGTTAGTGTTTTGAATTTTATCCATTGGGCAACGGGAAGCCAGTGGAGGGATTGGCAGAGAAGGGTGGAGGACACTGAGTGGAGGCCAGTGGAGGGATTGGCAGAGAGGGATGGAGGACACTGAGTGGAGGCCAGTGGAGGGATTGGCAGAGAGGGATGGAGGACACTGAGTGGAGGCCAGTGGAGGGATTGGCAGAGAGGGATGGAGGACACTGAGTGGAGGCCAGTGGAGGGATTGGCAGAGAAGGGTGGCAGATACAGAATGGTTAGTAAGGTGGATGAGTCTGGCAGCAGCATTCATGATAGACTGAAGAGGGGATAGCCTGCAATGAGGTCAGCCAATGAGGAGGGAGTTACAATAGTCAAGGCGAGAGATAACAAGGGAGTGAATAAGTTGCTTAGTCGGAAACCGAGGTTAGGAATGGCCGTATCTTGGAGCACCATGCTTCACTCCAAAACAGGTTCTGGAGCTTCACATGTCAAGTGAATGGGCTGCCCTATGCGTGGAAACTCCCGAAATATGTGCAAATAAAAAAAAGCGAGCGGGAGCGCGAGTGGGAGTGGGAGCGCGAGTGGGAGTGGGAGCGCGAGCTCCCAGTACGCCAAGCTGTGCATCCAGCCTAAGGGTCCATTTTTTTGTTTTTTGCATGGTTACATTGTACGAGCTTGGTTCAATGTTAGTCTGGGTTCACACTGATGAGGTGCGGAATTCGCAGCATTTTCTGTGCGGATTCCGCACCGCATCAGAATCGCACCCCTTTCATGTGAACCGTTGCGGGTGTGTATGTTAACAACACCCTGAAATCGGTCCGCAAAACGCAGTGTGATGTGCAGAATCGGATCGCACAGGTGTGAATACCCATGCGATCCGATTCTAATGTGGACCCAAAAAAGGGTCCTGCAACTTTTCGTGTGCGTTGCAATGCACGGCTCCAATTGCAACACACACCAATCGCATGTGATTTTCACAGGAATGCGGTGCGGTTTCCCAAGTGCGAATTATTCAACCCCCAATTGCAAATGCGATATACCAAGCCGCATATACCCAAATGTGAACCCAAGTTTATGTAATACAGTAAGTATACGTATCCCAAAGACTACCTGGTTCATACCTTTCCATGGGCTCCCCCATAATAGGCAATTAGGCAGCTTTTGACGTGAACTTCTGAGCATATGCCATATCCAGTCAATCCTTCTGTGGGCAAGTGGAGAAAGATGCTGTAGTAGCCAAGGCAAAGGGCACTGATACCTTCCGGGAAGATGCCTTCGACTGTGTGCCTACGGTGAGCTACATTGGCTGAGGAACTGAGCGCTTTGTCGGGGGTAAAAGACCTTTTACTGCTAATGAAGGCCCCCCAGAACTCCCAGACAAGCACAAATCCTCTATGCCAACCCCCATCAAGTGACACATTCCCACTTTTGGACCAACTCTAAGCTCAACCCAACCCCCCCCCCCCATATATTTGCTTATCTCACCCTCCTGACCCCCCAGCAAACTCAGGGGTGTAAAGTTTTGGGGTAGTGGGCCATACAAGAGTGTTCTGTGGACTGATGAAACAAATTAGAATTGTTGCATTAGAAGAGGATGGAGAAGATGGCTGCAGGTTGTGCAGAGTGTTGGGGTCAGCGGCACATTTACCTGCGAGGCAAACAAGGCGTTTATTTAATGCAACAAGGTGTTTTTCCTAGGGCGGCAAAGTTTTTAGGGGGGGGGGCCAAAAGGACCTGGTGAGGTTGAATAGGGGTTGGTCACGAACCCATGAGAGGCTCCCCCCATGGGAGGATGGGGCAGGATGGAGTAAGCTGGTCCAGTCCTGAGAGGAGAGTGAGTAGCCAGACTGGCAGAGACCGAGAGAGACCAGGGAGGAGGACACTTCCAGAACTGGTGAGAGAACTAATGGCAAGGGTAGGCATTGGTCCAGCAGAGAGTGGCAGCGGTGGGGCCCTGGGGGCAATTTTTAGAGAAGGGGGGTGGAGAGGGGACCTGGTGAGCTGGGGTGGACGGACCCATGAGAGGCTCCTGGGAGGATGGGGCAGGATGGAGTAAGCTGGCCCAGTCCTGAGAGAAGAGTGAGAGACTGTCAGAGACCGAGAGAGACCGGGGAGGAGGACACTTCCAGAAGTGGTGAGAGAACTAATGGCAGGGTAGAGACATTGGTCCAGCAGAGAGTGGCAGCAGTGAGGCCCTGGGGGCAATTTTTAGGGAGGGGGGGTGGAGAGGGGACCTGGTGAGCTGGGGTGGACGGACCCATGAGAGGCTCCTGGGAGGATGGGGCAGGCTGGAGTAAGCTGGTCCAGTCCTGAGAGAAGAGTGAGAGACTGGCAATGACCGAGAGAGACCGGGGAGGAGGACACTTCCAGAACTGGTGAGAGAACTAATGGCAAGAGTGGGCATTGGTCCAGCAGAGAGTGGCAGCAGTGGGGCCCTGAGGGGGGGGTGTGGCAGATAGTGGCGGCAGCGATTCCCAAGGGGGGGGTGTTGGTGTTGTTTGGTGCTGGGGGATGCCCAATTTTAGTGTTGCCTGGGGCAGCACAACAACTAAATACACCACTGGCTGGGGCAGTAGGGGATGCAGAAGGTAGAGTGGGGGGGACAGTGGCCAATAGCAGGGTACTGGGAGGGGGCGCTCTCAGGTAGGCCGCACACAGCCCCATGATTTCCAATGGTGGCCCTTTTCCCGGCTGTATCACCAAGGATTCCTGGTGATCTGAGAAGATGTAGGAGAAATCTTCCATCCCTAGCCTTCTCTCTGTCTGTTTAACCTCGTTCCGCAGTTCGGATATAATGACAACTTTCAAAGACGAACGTTTAATAATCGTCTCCCAGAATGTCAGAGCTCGGAGACATGGGGCTTGCGAGAAGCCCGTTGACATTGATTCCATTCAATGAGCCATCACACCTCGGCTTATACTTTTTACAGAGGTGATTACACCGATCACATCCATCATCCTAAACGTCCGATACGTTCCTTCTGGAGGATACCCACCGCAATCCTTCCACAATGAGTCAGAACAAGATTGGGTCTCTGTTTCCATGACAGTAGAGGCTACGCCAACTCATTTTGATGATCGGTCTAAAGCCTTGTTATTATGTTTGTCTCAAGATACACGTATCCCCACCACGTATCCCCACCACGGTGGTGCACCCCGATGTGTTTTGCTGCATGAGCAGAAGACCTTGGAGTCGTTGCTTCTACAGCATATTACTATTTATGGCCCAGCCATGATGTCTCTCTTTTTTATTTTTTGGTTTTAGATCGTTTTTTTGTACTGTCTACTATTGAGGTGATGACTACTTTGCAGTCTTAACTCAATTGTCTCATATTGCAATGTTGATAATAAAGCGTATTCTGATTACATTTTTTGAAGATGGCATTGTCCTTCATGTAACCGCTTTTCTTTTATGAATTATCTGTTCACATTGTTTCTTTTGTAGGCTTTTCTGGTTATTGGGCAATACTTTATATTTTTAGCGATACCCATTACTCTTGATGCCTCCATTTACATGGTTATTATAGTCAGAACATCCGCCTGACCTTAAGAACATTTTTGCCTGGAAATTGGCAACTTTACTGGAGCAACACTTGATTTATCTTATTAAAGGAAGGCCCGGAGTAAGAAGAAAGAAGACCTGAATGAAGGGCCGGCATGACAGGTGTTAAAGGGGGTTGGGAGAGGTAGAGTCCCATTAGCGTAAGGGGGAGTCAAAATAGTTAAGGAAGGAGTGGGGGGAGCTAAGAGGGGTGGTCTTACACGCTGTGGCAGGGTTTTTTTCAGTCTGAAGAGAGTTTTCACAGGGCAAACTTCCCACCAGAGGCGGACTGACCATTTGGAAACTCGGGTCAGTAGGGGGCCCCATGAGATGCCCCTGGCACCTTTTTGATAGGCTTTTTTGAGTTTGGGCAAGGACACAGGGGCCCCATGATCTTCTATTGCCCGGGGGCCCCATGAGTTGTCAGTCCGCCCCTGCTTCCCTCCCACCCACCCATTGTCTGATGGTTTGTCTTGTTGGTGTTTGTGCCATATTGGTGCTGAAGGACGTTTGGTGGGGTGCAATGTCCTTGTTGGTTAATGTGGGTACAAAAAAAAGCACTTTGTAGGAACCAGTTGTTCCGGTGGGGGTAGCTACGGTGGTGTCTCCGAGTTGGTGATGTTGCAGCTGGAGGCCTAGTTAAGCAGGACGCAGGTATTTGTTTTTCTTGACACCTATCGAGACCTTGAAAGAACGTATGTTTATACTTTGTATTCTGTTATTTAAAAAATCTTATTTATTGATGGTTGTAATGAAAGGCCATTTTGGGCCATTAACTCCATTTGTTGTCAGTGTGGTTACTTAGGTTAAGTATGGGGGGTAGATATTGGTTTATTGGAATGTACAGCGCTGAGTGAACTATTGGCGCTTTATAAATACTGTATAATAATAATAATTGGGACTTACAAGCCATCTTTAGTCCCCTGGTCAAGTAGACCAGCAACCTCAGATTTGAATGGTCTTCATTTTCATTTTCTTTTAAGCGTTTAAAAAAAAATGTTCAAACATTTTCAAAGTTTCTAATTTCAGGATCAGTGTAAAGACCCAATAAACTCAGGAACGTTCTTCGTTCTCCATCAATTGTCCCCTGCATGCCACTGACCACTTTTGGTATCAGAGACTGTTCCATCTCTACCT